AATCAAAAATTTAAAAAATCTTACCAAACCGCAGCTAGAGGCTGCTAGCCCTAAATCCCTTGCGTGTGTGCACTTAAAAACAGCACTGAATTAAGATGACAGCAAGCATAATGCCTGGCCCACTACCAGGTGAGGCGAAACCTTTTATACCTATCAACTGAACACTCCAAAAAGTTTAACGACATTCAGACCATATGCCTTCCCAAGATCCCCTGGCCAATGTAGGGATGCCCCATTCAAGTCTTTTAACGATTAGGGCTCCTGTATCAAGTTAAACGACCTCGAAATTGACAGTCAAATAATAGACCCTTCTGCAATAATCCATCACTTTTTACAAAAAGACGATAACTTGAGAAGTTTTAACTGCATCCCGTCACTCTGAGCCATCAATCTCCATACGTGACTGACTTTTCTCTGATGATAAACATGGAGATGTGGGGTTTTATTAGAGAAAATAATAGGAAAATAATCACCTTCTCAATCACAGAAAGCTTATTATAACAACTTAGGTTTGTTGTCTATTTGCAACATCAATTGAATTGAAACCGATTCAATATATCAAAATGTCACTTCATTTAAAAAGGGTCAAGTTAACACAGTAAAACAAGAGAATCAAGACATATCATGTACAGAGAGCATTCAAAATAAAAACATTACAAATAAATAAAAAAAACAAACAAACTGTGCAGCTATAGACATCACAAGAGGTCAATTTAGCATAAACTTTTACCCACAAAAATATCCAGAACCTTCAAAGATATGAAAACAATAAATCTAATGCAAACTAATAAAATTCTCAAGAGATATTTACCAGAATTCTATTCCACACTGCAGGATATAAAGTAAACAATATGTTCCAGTCATTTTGGAAGGTCATTTTCAAATATATTCATTGAAAGATTTTACATGTATATAGCTCAGGATTTTTTTTTCAAGAAAGAGTTATTAACCTTTGAAAATTGATACTGCTGCCAATTTTTTTTTTTACCTGCATGGTACTTGCACACACAGTATATAAACAAAAATATAAGTAAAGAAAAAACTTTATTCACTTTAGTAATAAACTGTGACATCATTTGGTCTGAAGAAAGGTATCAAAGTTTATTTTCCTAAGAACTCCTATAAAGGCCTCAGCATTGAATTCAACGAAATCTGATTTATTGGGAACTCTGTGCCTTATATTAAAGGGATTACTTGGTTAAGCATTTAAAAGGGACATCATCTCTTCAATTCTAATTTCAATTCAGGTATTCAGATCAAAATTGTTCTGTACGTATGGAATGAACATTTAAAGCTTCGCAATACATATTTTAGGGGTGAATATAAGTGGACATCTATGGAACAATCTAATAAAGTTATCTACTAAATTTTTTTTATCTCAAACATTTCTAAAATCAGCTTGACCCCTAGCACATGACACCTTTAATAGGTCTACACTGTACTTATTCATTCAAGCTCTTAAAGCTGTGGAATTGTTTCCAAAAATACACTTCAAACTTCACAAATTTGAAGTGACAGCTAATGTGAAGAACATTACATAATTCTCCTGAAGACTTCCAACAATTTCCTGGCAAAATAACTAGACTGCTGTTAAAAAAAGTAAATAGACCTACTTTAAATTATCAAAGGACACAACCGCCAAGATCTGCTGACTTTACCTGAAGAAATAGAAAAATCTTCCTTCTGCACAAATAACAGTAAATTTTCTCCTTCCGATGTCTTATTCCATCTCAGAATAGACACAGAGTGTTCTAATTTGACAAAGCTTGTTTACTTATGAAGGCCTGTAATCAACTCATGATTTATGGCCCATTGACCCCTAAAACTTTTGAAACTCAGACTCCAACAAAATTCAATTTTGACCTGGCATAGTGATTTCAGGCCATAAGTGATTGGCCATTAAGATGTTATAAATGGGGGATTGATTTAGAGCGGGGAGTGACTGTGGGTGATAAAGCCTAATTTACAGGTGAGAGTTACAGCCGGTAGGGGGAACGGATACCTGGCCAATTCTCCTGTCCACCTTACAGGTAATTAAGTTTTCGGAGTTGTCATTTCAGGTCACCAGTAATCAAAGATGTGTCCGTTGTCTGACAATTCATCATAATCACAAACAGACATACAGACAATTGGCACCAAGTGTTTTCATCAAATAACAATATAAAAAGTAAGTCAAGGTGAAAAATTCATAACAGGGTAGCAAATTCTCATTAAATCAAAAACATATATGAGTTGACCAGATAACAGTAATACTGTGGAATTCCTCCCCAACAAGGGACCCAGGATTTCCGTGTTTATTTAGTACCTGCTTATCTGACAAAATATTCCCTACGTATTATATCTGGACATTCAAATTCTTCTTCACAACAGTCAAACAGTTCAAAAATGTATAGAATGAACTGATACTGTCTGCAGAGACAGCAATTTCAGGGGAGATAATTCTTTTTCTTCATAATTATCTAGGGGGGGGGGGGGAGTTATCAGCATACTGCAGTTCTACATTGCATCAAATTCAGTGAGAATTCACATCAAGTTTACAAACACAGATAAGCATAAGATGGAATAGACAAGATGCTTTGCATGTCAAGGAATTAGGTAACAAATTGCCACTTCATCTTAAAAATCAGAGACTTTCAGGTCACACTTCAAATGTATATTGAGGCACACTTTAACCAGAATAAATGTGAGGAAAATCTCTCTTTGGTTCAAACTTCTGTGAAATAAGAAGCAGAGCAACCTAACTGAGATTTATTAGCATAAGTAAGATCACCTTACAATGTAAAATATATAGGACAAGATTATCTGCACAATAAAACGACAGCATATAAAGGATATTAAGTACATCTCTTTCATAGTTCACTAGATTTTGGAATTGTGGAAGAGATTAATTAAATGGTTTCTATCTGCATAAAGAATACATAAGAATTTACTAGACATAGGTGTTCAAGGCCAGGCAATAAAATGTGTGCACTTTTACTTAAGCAGCTCAATTAAATGGACCAAAGAAATAGGAATACATTTGCTTATCTAATGAAGTACGGAGCCGTCACAATGTCTATATCCTTATAGTTTCTATTGGACCTGCTGAAGTCATCATTTCTACAAATATTAACAACTTAAAATACCAGCTTTGTTCGGACTACATAATATATAGAAAAAATCTAAGAGAATGAGGCTATTAATGGAATTAGACTGGTTCAAAGTCACAAATAAACAAAATGTTGAGATTTGCATTGGCTCTAATGCAAAATTTTTATTATTCAACTAATTTTATAGAACAAATGTGGGATAGAAATTTATCCTAAAAGAAAAAGTGAGTTCTTACAACTCTATCATCTGACAAAACAGTAAGAATTTCTCCACTGATTTTATAAACCCTAATTTTAATATTTTGATTGCAAAAGTTGGAATGCATATAGATATACATGAATATTTTGCAAAGATAATACAGAACTGGTATATCATACTTGAAATACTTGTAAGGAAACACTCTGCATGGGGTGGTAAATATTTAAGCTAAACAACAGATTAAACAGTTCTAAAAAGTCAAAACAAGTCATTCTTCACACAAATAGAGTAGTATTAAGAAAGTAGTGATGTGTTTTGTTACACTGACAAAGGGGGGTAAACACTTCATATCTAAAAATGTGCCTTAATACCAGCCATTCAAAGTCCACAAAGAACTATGTCCAAACATTACGAGGTGACCGCGAACGTCATCCATTCAAGTCGTCCGCTTGCATCATATGTTCCCTCCTCCATAATTCACAAGGGGCTTAGGTTAAATCATCATAAATGGAAAGCTATCTAAGCAATTTAGGGAATACATGTTGAAGGTCAATGGTTATGTACAAGTGTAGTGGACTATGGGCCAGAACAAACATACCGACCATAACTAACAAACATACCAACAATAACTAACACAAGTCTTAATGAGAAGGGCAAACATTGTACAAAGTTATCCACTCTGATTTTATAAATCTCTATATACCCTTGTGGGCCTACAGAAATAATACTCAAATTTTAATTGATTAGATTTAATTGCTTCTCTTTTGTAATGCAAACTAATAATGGTACATTTTTAAAGTTCTTTTTCATTAATCATACACACTTCTCATACACACATAAAGGCATGTGCAATCATACATCAGGGAATTTCTGGGTAGTCCAATTTAATAAATGAATGAAATGTATCTCATTAAAAATTGACTCATTGTAAGGTAAATATCTAGATTAGTACAATGAACAGCAGTTATGAACTGCACCTTTACTAATTCATCTACATAGCTTTACAAAGATCCCACAAAATTAAAAGTGAAACCAATATTTACTCACAATAAAATAAAGTCTTTAATAAAAACAATAAACATTTAAGTGGAAAGAGATGTAATAGTAAGTGAAAGTCAGAATTTTCAACAGGTGTGAAATGATGCTAACTTCACGTAATGGAGTGGTGTAACAAATGACCAACAAGATTCGTGTCAACTTTTACACATCTTCTAATCCTTTTACCTTGACATTTTAACACTTACAAATGATCTCTTCAGCAATCAGCATAAAAAACAAGAAAACAACACCTGGTAGGTAGCTTAATGAGATTCTTAATGAGAAAAGAAATGTGAAGAATACATTACGCCATAGTTAATAGACTAAACATTTGGGAAATTCTATATTTCTGGAAAATAAATAATGATACCAATACTAGATGCTGGACTTTTGAGTGATAATATATTTTTGTCTTTCAAATTGTGAATAATTTGTCATAAATCAGTAGACATTTTGCAGAGACAGAAGCAGAATGGTTGGTAAAAATAATCAAATTTTCTTTGTCAACTTACAAACAGCCATACTGAAAAATGCACTGTAATCTTGATAAATGATGTCCCATGATGCTCTTTGAGTGATGTAGAGGATATTTACAATAACGGAATGTATAGAGGTATTTTTTTTGCTGAACCACAGCTAATTAGTCCTGTAAATATAGGAGAGTAAGGGCCTACCTTTATCCCTCTGTCTAAGCTGTCGTAGGGCCAGCCGAATCTGTTTCTTTTCATCGTAATCATTGGTCTCATTCAGCTGAAGAAAAAAAAAAAAGAATTAATTCAGTCATCCAAAAAATGAAATTTAACAAAACACAACAAAACTTAAATTTAATATAAATTTAGTAGTCAGAGACTTTTTCTCACAAAGTCAACAAGATGGCTTGGGTAAAACTCTCTATAATTCATCTGCAGGCAATATTGTGGGTCTAAGTTTGCTAAAAGAGATTTTTTTCAGAGGTAATATGTTGTATGTAATACCTCTAATATTTCAAGCATAAGAGTGTCTTTGATAAGAAGAAAATAACAAAAATATGTCAAGCCCTATTCAGATTCTCTTCAGCAGGGACAAAAATCTTCTTGGGTTTAGGCCAATGATACTAAATCTCACAGTGAGAAGATCTAGATTCAACGGGACAACAATCTATTGATTTCATCAGGGATCATTTTTATAAAAGTAAAACCTTGCCAAATCAATATAATCAATAATAATGATATTTAATCAGCTGTTAAGGGTTTGATGAGGATATAAGAGATGATTGGGAATGATATTTATAAATGTGTTATGTAAACAAAGTCCCAGAATCGCCCCCTCATCTGCTCAGGATCCTCCCAGTGACCCAGGCTAAATGAATTTTTTTAAGGTATATTTTCATTAACAGAGAATTATTTCAAGCAAACATCTAACTATAGGGGATCCCTCTGTGGTCTACTTTTACCTATACCCCCTACACACACCCCCGATCCTACCTGAGAGCCGATGGACATGGTAGAATTTATTTTCCCACAAAGATCCAGGAGATCTACACTGTGTCGCCTGTGGAATTCCCGCGGATACATGGTAGTCAGGAGAGTATAACCCAATAAACAAACGTGGAAAGAGACATCAGATTTATATAGATATAATTATCCACAGTCCCACAAATTAAACAGTCAAGGCTGAAGGTTTTCAAAGACATTTAAAACACTCAATTTTATTTTCGATTCAGTTTCAATTCCCAATGTCCTAGTTTTATCTCTTAATAATTACTGTACATATGTTTTAAATGTCCCCATATTAAGATCCCAAAAAGGGATTTTAATAATCCCATTAAAATTCCTGATCTCTTCTTTCTTCTTTCCTTCTGTTGACTCTGATTTGTTCTGTCTGTGTATAGGGAGAGAAGCTTAGGAACAATGACTGTTTAAACATGTATTTCATTTTACCAATGTGCTCTGTCCATGATGACCTGGTCTTAATGGGTACTTTGAAAAAGTTATAGATAAAGTGTACTTATTTTTCTAAAGAATATTCAATCTGTGATTAAAATTTCTATCCTCTTAGACTTTTAAAGTGTGAAGTTCCAAGTCTGCATTTCAAAACACATTCAATTGAGCAGAAAAGACCCCCGTTTGTCCTTTTTCGTGATTTAAATTTTAGGAATCCTCCGTCCCTTTTAACACTGATCTTCTAAAGTTTGTCCTTTCATATATGTCTCTACTATTAAATTTAATTATAGATATCAAATGTAATTAATGTAATATAACAAAAGTATAATCAATCATGTGTATGAATATTCAAAAACTACTATTTTTTTCAACTGCAAGCCAAGGAAATGTTTACTTCTCAGTTGATTCAATACACAAGAGAATGCTCTACCAAAAAAATTTCAATTTTCTTAATGAAGGAGGCTATTGGCAAATAAGTTTCTGACACAGGGATATCAAAAATCTTATTTAAACACATAACACAAATTCTATGATCCACACAATGACCTTGTTTGCAAATATAACTTAACGATTGAGTGCTGAAATGCTGATCGAGTGATATCTTTAGACAAATACTAAGGTCATTATTTTACACTGAACTGTCACAGTCTACACATTTTTTCCATTGAACTAAACACAATCAGGGAAGCCTGGAAGTTGTGACCAGTCACAGAGGATGCTTACTCCTCCATGGCACCTGATCCAACCTCTGTTTTCAGAGGTCAGTGTTGGTTCTTTTCACAATCTGAATTGTTTAATTAATTGAACTTTTGAGTGTGATTACTGTTCATTATCTTCACACTTTATCTTCAGTTAATGACAGACAGTTACCAGTTTTCTGAGCTCTGGGATGTCCTGGATGGACTGTAGGTTTCGGATTTTCTCTGTCACCTCTGAGTCACATTCCCTTCCACACTGAGGGGGAGAGCACCGCCCCATGTCCAAGATGTTTACTTCTGAAAAAAACATAAAACGTTGTGTGAGTGGCATTTATTATATTAAATGTATTCAATATATAATATCTAAATAGCCTATTGAGAACAATATATCACTCATTACACTCATCCAGGCAACTTAAAAATCCATTTTTCACAAAAAAAAAACTAAGAAAATTAAGTTTCAACAAAAATGATGCCATGGTAATTACTTTTAATCCATCACCAGACTGATCTAGGAAGCTGTCTACATATTTCAAATTTCCTAAAAAGCCGTACTTTCTTCATATTTGTCAGATCTTGACAAATAACTACAAATGCATAACTCTATTTTTGGCCAATTTTTATTTTAACCAGAAAATTTAGCAAAAATTACACCCAAGAGCATCCATTTCTTAGAAACAAAATGAATAGAAAATGCTTATATTTTTTTTTACCGTGATGAATGCATCCATTACTTACCGGTAATGTAGCATACATTCAGAGAAATTTATTTAACAAGGGTAGTCTAAAATAATCAACCTCTGCAACAGTAATTCTTTGAACTTGGAATTTAACAAGACTTACATATAAAGTTTCTTAATTAAACAACAGCTGGTTCAATAGTACTAAAATCTAAATCACAGCAAAAACAGGCAGAACTTGATTCAAACAATTTAATATATTTTTTAATTTTTACTATAATATTATCTCGATCTTTTCTATGTAAGAACTAGAAAAAATTTATCCAAAAACATTTTTCACGGGGTTTTTCTCATGAATTTTAAAAATCAATTATTGTGTTTCCATAAAAAAAACCCATCCTTTTCATTTTGAACAATGTTAATTATTTCACTTCCAAGATAAAGCTTTTTTCTATCCGTATAAATGGCAGAACTTTTGAGGAGTTCATTTTCAGTAAGATGACAGGACTCCCCTTTGCTGTCAGAAATACCCTAAGATAGTCTTTAATAATCTCCCATCCGATGTTCGGAAATTCTTACTCTACCTTCAATGAAACCTATAATTAGATCCCTGACCTCCTAAGGTTTGAAAGCCGTTGACATGTGTACCCTTTTTGATGGGTTTTATCGGTTTTTATTACACTAGTTATGAGGCAATTTAATGAGGGTATATTAAGGAACTTTATTAAAGCCTGTAGATTTTATGGCATCATAAAGTAAATAAGGAGAAAATGAAGTGTTTACCGGATTACACAGCAAACTGTATCAAGTAAAAAATGTTCACATCAAAGATGTAATATTTACACACTGTATAGCTTAGATGACACCAGATCCTCATTTTTTAACCGATTTATGATGATACCATGTGTTACAAGATTTCAAATAGATACAAGTATAAAGTCTGACTAAAAAGTTTTATTACAAATACAGATCATTTCATACTTTGCATCATTTTTATCAGTGTATTTACATATTTATCCAGATATGGCAAATACACATCATTGATTAAACAAGGGAAATATTCAGTTTTTATGTAAATAACCCTGATACTTAAATCTGTCAGAAGAAAACAACCTGATGAAAATCTTCAAAAGATTCAGTTCCAAAAGAATTACAATAATCATATTTCTAATTTAAATTTTACCTTTTAAGAGAACCATAAATGTTCTAATCCTGTACTACTTAAACAATGTCTAATTATGAAAACCAATTAGTCATATACCTAACTTAAATTGGGCATACTGGGTTTTACATGCAAAACAAATTCATACATACAAAAGAAAAATATATTGAAATTAGTAACTGCTTAATCATGGAATGCACACGTGTGTATCCAGTGTTTAATTGAACAATGCTGCTTCCGAGTGGGTTAAGGTCGTAAACTTTGTTATCTCTGATGTTGGATTTGTATGATTTGCGGTTATCCCCCTTGTCCAAAAGACAATACACTTCATCAGTATATACCAAAGTGTCCCTGCTCTGATGGGGTGCCAGGAATTTAATACATCAGTAAAATACTGTCAGTGTTGGAGAATTAAATGGCCACCCGTCACATAAAAGAGTACGCTAAATTGATTTAACGCAATGAAATGAGATCATAAAAGGACTCCTGCAAAGGAATACATTTAATTCACGCTAGGTACAATTTCCAATTCAATTTGACATTCTAAGACGTCATAATTGCGATTGAAAAATTGTAATACACAAATTTCAGGACAACCTGTCATTCAAAATTAATCAACAGAAAAAAATGAAATTTGATTTTTTGAAAAAATTCATTTACCCTGCTTTTTCTCTCTTAAGCTCCGAATTTTATCTCTGATTTTTCTGCGCTCTGTGAAGTCTGTGCACCTTCTCAACTACAAACATAAAAAATAAATTCATGACTTGTCAACAAACAGACAAATACCCTAGTGTTTACATTGAGGGATAATTAGATGACAAAACGGGAACAATACAAAGAAACAATCCCTAAGCCTACGTTGATTTGTGTAGGTGACATATCAATCATCGATACCTATTGTCTAACGTTTTAAATATACAAAAATTGAACATATCTTAAATACCGTAAATGTCTCACCCTTTTGAATTATGTAATTTTAAAAACTTGTAGATAATACCGAGAATAAGAAAGGGCTGCCCACACAGATAGACCTATCCTCTAAGTAATTTACATGGTAGTCAGGTTACTAATAATTTTACCTATAAAATAGGCAATTTGTTCATTATAGTTGGTTTTAATTTATCTAAATTAAAAAATGTCACACAAAGCAGCCAAATTAACCCATTCCATTTTTTAATATTTCACAATATTATTCAAATCAAAAAAAATAAATTTGAAAACATAAAATACTAGTACCTTTGAAATGTTAGATAGAATTAGACCAATTAAGCATTATAGAACCAACTGTTTAGAAAAAAAACAATGTACAGAACCTTTTAGTTTTGCTTGGTTCCAGGTAAATGAGGATAAAATTGATCAAAGGTGTAAGAGTTATCCCACCTTTAATGCTATTTCAATGTTTACAAACACTGAATACATATGCATTGATACTGACTGATAAAAATCCCACTTTTTTTTATATGATGAAAAATATATATAAGCACTTATATGCATTAATTATTTATTAAAAAGGAAATAAATATACTAGCATTTGCTTCCTTTTAAACACTTTGCATATTATATTGTTCAGATAGCAATTTGCATTCTCAAGAGTTCCTTATAAATATATCAATGCTTATCAAAATACATAAGTAACCCCCTCCCATAACAACTCATTAAGGCAGACTCAAAAGATTAAAATTTTAAAATATTTGTTTAAAAACCCTGTACCAGTTATACTAGTTTTACAAAAACAAAAATACCAGTTTTTTTAATGCCAGTTTTTCAAATATTTTCATAAATATACTTTGGGCACGACACTGTACCCTTAAAATGAAAGCAATAATCTTGGTCAAGCTTTTGTTACCTTTACATTATATTGCAAATCAGCCTAAACTAGTTAAAAAAAAAAAGAACTCTTCTGAATCTTATGAATTTGGTTCATTTTTTCCTGACCGTACGTAGGTCATTACACTCTCTATGGTTAAAAGTAACAGGGACAAATTTGAACTTACATTGTATTCTCTTAAAGCTTCTTTATAAAACTATGTCCTTGACAGAAAATTTAAATTTTAGACTCCTACCTTGACCCTCTTAAAATGACCTTGATTCAGATTCAAACAACACCTCAGTGCAGCTGTATAAATTTATGACATTTTTCTCTTATGGCCTAAACAAATATTGCAGACTTTGATAGTAAAATTAAATCTCTGTCATGAAAAAATAATGAGCTTCATATGTTGTTCACTCATAAAAAAGTTATAAACCTAACAAAAAAACTTTAGAACCTTGTGAGAATGACCTTGATCTACTGATCATGAATTAAGGATGTAATTGCCTAGTATGATTTGTTGGTTTTCTCTATATTAGAAATTTTGACAAACAGACTTAGTTATCCCTACACCTTGCCCCCACAATTTGTGAGGGAAATTACTATAAAACTACAAAACTCCACCTCTTCCTGGAGACTCCTGAGCTCCATTGTCAACTCTGACCCATCTTGACCATCTGACCCTTGAGACAGACTTCTGATCACGCCCATAGAAGCCTCGGTACTCTGTCCTGGTTCTGACACACTCCTGGTCACTCTAGGAGCTGGTTTAACAGACTCGCCCACTTTAGACCTTTCTCTTGATCGAGATGATCTCCTTCGTAGTCTCTCTTTCTGTTCTTTGGAAACTTTTGAAGACATATTCCTCTGTCCTGACTCTATAAAAGTTCCATCATTTCCATTTGTTAATGAATCACATATGAACATTTCTCTCTCATCTTTTGCATCATCCTTTTCTTCAGAAAAGTCCTCATTGCTAACTTCATTATGACATTGCTTTGAACCACTTATTCTTGTAAATGACCTCTCCCCTGACCCACTTGGTTTTTCAGTTTCTTTTTGCTCATCTTCAGCACTTCTACCAGCTGACAGACACACGTCTTTCCTGGATTCTACCCTGTCCGTTTTTGATGAATCCTTTTTGAACACATCTCTGCTGCTTTTGAGTGCGTTTTGGGTCCGGAGTCGATTTTCCTGGATCCTTTGCCTCAGTTTCTGTTGTCTGTCTGAGTCTGTGATGGTCCCGGTGGTCGAGGGTCCCAGGGAATGGTAACACACACTCCTATACGTGTCTTTCATCTTATCACTGTCAGCCATAGTCAAAATCTCAAAGAAAAACTCATATTACTTTCTAATGAACACAGAATAAAGAACAATGCTTCTGAGGTATTAAAGATGTAAATAAGGCAGTGAAGTGAAAACAAAAAGCTGTCTATTGCAAAAACTGTTGAGGTCTAGAAGTTTGATGTATATAAGTAGGATTAATTCTTTTAACGAGATAACGATGTGCTTCTTGGAGCATTACAATTGCATGATCTTGTTTCAGCATATTCTTGCGCAGCTGACGTGTTAATTGTCCTGTCCTTTTAAAAGATTTTCATTCTTAACATCGATCGTTCATCTTTTGAGTTCGATATCATCACTGCTTCTAAACTCAAATTCCAGAATCGTCTATCTGAAAAGAGAATGATAAATATGTCAATTATATTTATACACAAACTGAGGATTTTATGCACTGTAGATATTCAAACCTTCCTAATTTAGGCCTAGTTTTCAAAATCATTCAGAGTTTCAAATCATTACCCTTTCTATTTAGGAGCATTAAGATTCAGTGCTTATAAAATAAACCCTCTGGATATATTTAAATGAGAAGGAAAAATAATTTAAATGCAATGACAATTGACATCAGGGCAGTAAAAAAAAAAACCTAGTGCTAAACAGTAAAAAAAAATGAAATAAATCTTTCTTCAAACAGAGAAACATTAAAGAGAGTCAATATATAGAGAGTTATGGTATTTCTGATGACAGTCATGAGTAGCAAGAAAAGGGTTTCAATGGCAGAACAGATAACAAAGACTGAGGGTAAACGCAGAGAACACAAAACTGACCTTATAAAATACAGAATTATAGAATATACATATCAGTATCATTCATTCTCACATAAAAAAATTAGTTTTAAAGACAAAAAAGCACAAAGTAAATAGTAAAGACAAAAATTGTATCTTTTTCAGATATGACAAGATAACACATATTAATTTAATTATGTTAATTAATACATAAAAAAAACAGAGCCTTTATAAGATTGTAAAAGTTGATATGATCAAGTCTTTTATTTTGAAGTTAATCCTAATTTATATATGTACTGTAAAACAGCAAATAATCCTGCTTTAAAAAAATTGTGCAGAAATGTTGCATTTGAATCTTAAAAAATTATCTTAAGAGAACAGAGGGCCCTAAAAAAAGCAGTAGGTGTTGTGTGTACAACAGTCAGACATAACATGAGCAATCAAACCTTTAAACAAGATAGAACAAGTGTTTTACCACTATCACAAGACATAAGAACACGATAGATGGAACAGACTGTGTCCTAAACAAGACAGATAACAGTAAGGTACACTGATCAGAGGTTAACGATGAGTTAACGAGAAGCAAATGAACCATTACGCTGCTGGCTGAAATCTCAGGACCGCCATCAGTGCTATTCATGAAATATTTTTCTGTTTTTTAAGTTTTCACAAAGTTTTCATGAACAGTACATTTTAGTATAAATCTTAAAATATTTTGATACTGAGTTTTTTATTTCATTTAAAAAAAAAAAAAAAAAAAAAAAAACATGCTTAAAGTATTACAAAAAAAATGTCCGGTCAAGGATAACTTTGAATAACATGTAATACTAAAGAGCAATATCTGATCCATCAACTTGGTATATTCAATATTCCCTACTATCAAAATAGTGACATTTATAATACAAATGTCTTATTGGGTATCTACAGAGTTTAATAGATGACCTTTTGAGAATTGAAAGTCACAGAAGGGGTATGATGAATGAATAGACAGAAATCTCAATATCATTTTTCTGTTTCCCTTATGTAAATCTATAACCCTGAGGAAACCCCATATTATCTCCCTTTATGATGATGGATGGGGTGAAAAATTGATTTACACCTTGGTAACATCCCACAGAAAACAGCTGATTTATCATATTTATAAAAGAGCAGGTCTATTATCATCTGACAGTAGTTGAACTTTGAGTTTAAAGGCTATAATCCAAAAGTGCCACTAATAATGAAACTCTTCACTGTTCCTAAATAAACATCTTGTCTACATTATGACAAACAAAATCTCATATTTCAACTGAGGATAAAAACATGGTTTAAATGACAGTTTGTGACAACAATATGAATAGGTTTCATTCAAAACAATTTTTTGTTACTGCTAAATACAATGCCCCTGGCCAAAGCAAATTTCTACAGTGGCAAAGTCCTATCTAACCCATGACCTCTAGGCATGACCTTGACCTCACTCTATATATGTGATGTATTAGTTAAAACAAGCATGCTGTTTCTTTTTTAGTCAGTACAAAAAGTATTTGAACAATCAATTAGAAAATAAACTATAAATAGCATGAGATACTTTGCAGATGATTAGAATAATTTTTTTTTGCCAACTCTTGTCTTTTCTGGTGAATAATTCATGTTGAAAAAAATACATTTATGCATGGGAAATATTTCAATGCTTAGCACACTGGAAAAACTTTCATTAACAAGACAATGCAGAATACAATGGAATTTCATAATAAAATCTAGTTTCTATGATAAGTCAAGAGAATATCAAACATGAGATGGTGGATATATTTATATTTACCAACTGTTAAGAGCCTATAATGTCCCACCTCGAGAGAAGACAAGGACGTCAATTTAGACAACATTCAAAGCAGCCAAAATAAAGCAAGTGTCTCATCTATTGAAGTTTTATCACAAGTAGAAGCAAACAGTCTAAGAGAGACTTGAAGAGGCCATACACCCCCATGCTGCTACCAAAAGTCATTCAAAATTGCGTAACAATCTGAGCATGCTGTCCATTTCTGCACTGGGCTGGAGATCTTTCACATAGGACCTGCATACCAAGTTATAATCTTCTGAATCATTCTTCATTCCTCTTGATCGCTGTGTTTAGGCAATTTAGCTTGACATTTGCACATTCTGTCAGTAAATCTCCCCCTTATTGCCTTTTATCAATCAATAAGTTTTATATTACCTTAATATTGAAAGCTATTCAGTGACATCCTAGCTGCCAAATTATCGATAGGGAATGCACAACTTGTATATCATGCATATAGGAAGTCAAAGCTTTTATTCTTTGTCTTTCAAGTGCATGTCTTTAGATCCCTAGACTAATCACTTTAATCTGTTAATCCCTTATTAAATGACTTAACTTGGAGTAATATCACATGCATTTTCTCATGCGGCTCACATGTATTTTGGCCACTAACTGCATGTCGTCACTTCTTTGTCCTGTACTTGACATAGAGAGCCTGTATGGTGAACTCTGAATGATACCATTTACCTAAACCGTCTCAAACAATGGCCTTCATTCACAAAAAGTCAGAATCAAGTTTTAAATCACCTGTATCGTATTATAGGAGGTGCAGCCAGTGTTTAAGATAAAGTAATTGTGCTATGAAATGGACCGTCGTTAGATGAAGAGATAGGCTGGTGGGTGATTAAATCCAGAATGATGGACTCTCAATACACCTATTTACCTAAAGAAAACATTTAGTCACCAGTCTATTGTTCCATTTTAATCTGACAAATCATATTGGAATACTTGAAAAATAAAAATTTAAATGTGCTTTAAGCCATGTGTTATCAAGAACACAAAGGCAAAAAGTTTCACTTTTAAACTTATATAAAATAGGCCCTAAAACAATCCAATACTTAAATTCTAATTTAGCGGGACTGAGACAATCAAAGGACTTCTTGACCCTTTAACAATATGCAGGCACTTAACATAAATATTAGCCGCAAGTGCTGATTTAATTAATTCCAATCAGGAGTATAAACTAAGCAGAAATAATCTGACATTTTTTGAAAATGATAAATATTACCTGCCTTTATTCTCTCAGACACTGACTAGGACAGTGGTCATTGTTTACATTTGTACGTACCTGGCTACAGGTGTGATTGTCCAATTGAAGTTTGGGGTCCACCAGTTATGACATTGTATCTCCCGAAATTGTCATCAAACTCAGCCACGGCTGATAAAATTCTGGAAGAGAGGGAAACAAAGTCATGTTATCAGGGACCGGTGAAGAAGTGGAGAGATACCTGTACCGCATGCAGGTGGTCACCAGTACACTCTGACTGTTTACCTGCGATAGTGCCCCTGGGGTCTTTGTTTTAACAATAGCTATTACAAGGTAAAGGTGTGGATACAAAAAAATCAACCAAAGATAGAACTTGACACGAAAACATCATTTTAATCAGACATTAATACACACTATATGGCTAGGATGTAATAAAATTCTATCAAATTGATTCTTCTTTGAACAGTTGCGGTCCCAGCGTGTGTCAGAATAATTGATTATTCATGAGATTCTGGTCCTACAATAACTCCGCAAAAAAAATGAAATCAAGACAGGGCAGGTAAATTACATTAAATATTCATTTCTGATAATTAAATTACTATGCTGTTGTTCTAATGAGGACTGTTACCACTGACTATTACTACTAGTATGCCTATGGTACCTTTGACCCCGGGGCAAGCAATTGTTAGCTTATCCATTATAAGTGCATTAGTGACCGTACTTACCTGACACTACCCTGGGGTAGGGTGGACGCTAGGTCACACTCGGCCCTCATGCCTCAATACACAGAAGTGTGAAGTGGACAAATGTTAAAATCTCCACCCTACAAGAACAAGGGACTATTTATGACGTGAAGAGTTAAAACAAGGAGTTAACGGCAAACCTCACAAATAAAAGGAAGGAATTAATATACAGAGAATTTGACACTGTGGAGATTATATATCAGAGTCTACACCTAGAACACTCATTGAATTAGTACTTCAACATATACATCTTTCACCAAAAAAGTTCAACCTAATGATTTAATATCTGTTTCAGATTAAAAATATGCAGATGGTGATGTGTAGGTCAACTGCATTATACATTATCTTGATGTATTATATAATGACACACTACCTACACATTTCCTCTCTGCACTAATATGTAAGTGCATTAATTTATACATGTTTGTCAAAATTAATGATCAGAAGGGCTGCACAAACCTAGCACCTACTTGTTCTTTAAGAGTCTTGAAGTAAAGTCTTCCAGATTTCAAAAGTTCTGTTGGTGATTATAATTTACATGTACATTGTACATTATGTATTTACATTTCTACAGTAGTATACGCTTTTTGAATGCAATGTCCAGCATTCTACATAGCCACATGTTATTCAGTGCTGCTTATATTTCAATTTCTCTCTGTATTTTGTATGCATGGAACAATTCACAGGTAAATATACATATCTGAGTCAACACACCTGCCTCAATATGATATAAAACAGACGTAGGTGTCAGCTAGATTTTAAAGTACTTTCAGGTGAAACATAATTCAGTGCAAAATTCTCAGTGTGTAAACGATACTATTTTTCTTTGCTGGTTATTGCCATCACAAAGGCTGATCATGTGAATGCATTGTTTGCTTATTTCATGCAATTTCAAAATATTCACTTTCTAACTCTGTTTTATTTAGGCCTACTTTGATATATAGCATAAATTTCAAGGATAGTTTTCCATGAATTGTGTGTTGACCTTTTCTTTTCTGGTAAAAAGAGGAAAGAACAGGAATACAAGTAATCGAAACAAAGTGCATGTCCACTTCTACAAGCAGTTTGAAGTTACCTGTATCCTTTAATCTTAACTAAATATAACAAATGTTCATGTCCATGTAATAACAAGAGATATCTGATAAATCTGATTCCATATTAACTGCAAGTATTTCTATAATTTAATGCTCCATCTGCTTACATATCATCACTGCTTAAGCAAAACCAGTTTATTTCCTTTTATTCTAATTTTTTTTAAATTAAAATATGACAAGATTTTACTTTAGAATTAACCACATTAGCATTTCAACCAATTACATATAATTCTATGGAGATAGTAAAACTCAGTTATAGCATTATCTTCAGGTACAACAACCCTTAAATTTATTCATTAATTCAAATAAAATTTTGCCTCAAAAGGGATAACTTTCCTAATAAATCTAATAGATAATTATTTATTTATTCAATTTCAGAATATCTTTAATGGCAAAAAGTAGTGGCCTTTTTGACTTGACAATCTTATAACTGATTTTAGTCATTTATCCCAATGCGAATTATCTCCCTTATCAGAAGGTCAAGAAACCTTAAGAATATCATTTATGTTTCTTTTTTCATGTTATTTGTTTCAAAATAAAATAATTGATGCATTTAATTTTCAAACATCTATAATGTTTAGTATCTATATTTTACACTTAATTGGAAAAAATTCCAAGCTTTCACTTTTTTTTTTACTTATATTCTTTTTTTTTTTTCAAATCTTTATCCCCTCCCCCCCCCCCCTCCAAAAAATTGACTTCATTCTCCCATTTGTCATAAAAAATTTAAAATCAATAATAAACATTAATATGCTTGACGTACAAATGTACATGTAAGCACATTCTTTACTGACAGGTATAGTTAAGTGCATAGACAGAACAATACAATTCTGAAATAAACATGTAGTGCATGATCTCTCTCTCTCCAAATTGTAGAATCATCACCGTTTAGCTATATCGCTAGTACATGTACAGAAGTATGAAAAAGTAAATTTACCAGCAGTTGATCATCTTTCTCCACCAGTGAACACTTTCCTATGTCACCAAATGCTTGTCTGTGCAAAGAAAAGTCTACATTACACAAAAAAAATAGAAATTAAAAAAAATATAAACATATCAGCATCAACAAAACAAGGAAATATTCAAAGCAAAAATATTACTTAAGTAATTCAAATCTGCCACTCAGAGCTATAAGTTATTTCCTCTAGTTCAACAATACACCTGCTTATTAATTAGACTATAGCTATTTAAAAACTTCACAATGAAACAAGATCAAATATTTGTTTATTCATGTCTATCAAGACATTTTCTGCTTTATTGTCAAATTTTCATGGGTCAGCACTGCTGATTGAACTGAATGGAACAGATTTCCACCTTAATCTAGGTGTGCTGAGATTAAATTACGTGTTGTCATTACGCATAATGGTGAACAATACATTGGGATAAGCAAGTGTTCCATATGGAACCATTCACTTGGGCAATGAATTATGCAAGCACAGTCTTGAATTATACAAGGCATTAGACTTAATTTGTTTTAGCACCGATCTGTCTTTTCGATCGGAGGCAGTGATAGGATCTACAGTGGAACATCCCCCTCTCTTTTATCAGTATCATTTAAACTCGTCCAGGTTACCTGTTATCTCAATTACCTACAGCAAAGTTATACTTGTTGAATAATTCAAATAAAATTTGATTTTCCTCTTCACACTTTGCATTATTTAAACCTTATAATAAACAAACATATCAAATAGATGGAAACAAATTCATTAATTTTGCAAGAAGTAATGACAATGAAATAAATACATTCATATTGAAGTATTCTGTATGTCATTTTTGTGTCATATTCATGTTTGTCCAAAAACAGTCCAATTATTAAAGTTCTACACCTGTTGGATTAAAAAAATGAAATGACCAAACATTGTCAAATATTTACTTTATAGTTATACTGCAATGTAAAAAAAAAGTTTATTTATATTGCTGTATAAAGTAAATATTTGAACATAGAAAAATCACATAATGACCATGCAGTTAGACTTTTTGTTACATTTCACAAATATTTAAAGCATGTCAACGAGTTCATAAGACAATACACACATGAATATGGTGATGATTGTATTTCTCAATCAAGCAAGATTTCAGAACCAAGTTTGTGTGGTCTGGACTTCTTTTTCTGGGCAAAGAGCCCCTTTAAAACAGCATGTGAACAGTTACACCATTCATCTCTCATGTCTGTGACTCATGACAAAAGATCTAGCCAAAACCTTGCAGAAGCATACTTCTGGAGGGTATTAGTTACACTGCACTATGCAGCATACAGATATCATTTTTAGGTGCACTTCTTTCATTCTAAAAAATAAAAAAAGTGTATTCAAACATTTGATTGTTAATAAATTAATGCCTTTAATATTTTTTGTTCTTTGAAAAAAATGGTACAATTAAAGCCTTTTCCTTAATATTTTTATGATTATTACAATCTTCTTAAGGAATATAATTGGCTGTGAGTGGCACAGGGTCTTATTTTGACTGACATATAACATTCCAATAGGGCCTTTGACTTTGTACTGACTTTGGAATATTCTGTTTACCTGATCAATAAATCGGGGGTCATGATGGGTGGGACTGGTTGATAGGGGATCCTCCTCGAGCCTGATCCCACCTCGGGAATTTCCAGGGGTCCATGATTTAGGCCCTGTTAACAGGATTGTATTCTTTATAAGTTTGAGACCAATCACACTTTGTATAATCTTTATGGTTTAGGCCCTTTTAACAGAGTTGTGTTCTTTGTAAGTCGAGAGAAATCACAGTTTGTATAATTTTGACCTAGCTCTTTCATGATTACCTTCATATTTCAAATATAAGAATGATACAAAATCCATGATTTAACATTTCCATTTAAAGATCATGAATTGTCATAAAAGTTTTATTACGAGTAAGGAAAGAGGAACAACTCTGAATAGTTGTAATAAGCATACACTCATGCAATCAGCTTTGTCTAACTTAAAGTGCTAGGTTTTCAGAAATTTATGATTGGATTAAAATAAACTAAAAAATGTAATGTAAGCATCAATATGCCTTTCTGGTTTTGTTATTTATTATACTGTGCTATATGAATTAAGCTATCATTTCATAAATACACCTCATTCAGTTTCAATCTATTTTTACATCATATAAGCCTATATATAAACAGACATTGTTAAACTTGCAATGAAAATTTTCAAATTGCTCACATAGTTTTATTCAGAGTTTTTGATTTTTTTTTTTTTTTTTGTAGAAAATAATCGACAGACAATCTAAAGAACAAGTACATTAAGAAATCTTACCACTTTACAAAAGTATAATAATTTTCAAATAAATTTGTCAATTTTTTTTCCTAAATTTTTTTAAAAACATTTTTATCAATAATAATACATACACATTTATTACTATAAATGTAATATAAAGATCCATTTTCTGTATAAACAGTATATCAAATTCTCAAAATAAAACAACTGCCAATGTGCTGTTTTGCATATTTTCTTAGTGCCATTTTCATCAGGTCAGGTGCCGTTTTGACTAATTGTACCCCCTGTCCTCAAGCATAGGCGCTTGGTTTCATGATGGTGTATTTAGTGTATTATGTGTTTTTTTTAGGTGTGTACACTACAGCAAATATGACATTTTTAAAACGTAATAATTTCAGCAATTTTTTATTTTGATGAAGGTATTCAGACACACCTAGAAAAACACATTATAGTATACACTAAATGTACCATCCTGAAACCAAGCGCCTATGTCGATCCTCAAGCACCTGTTAAACAACAAGAGACTTATTTAAAAAAGACATGATTTTCTATTGTCCTCTATTGTAACTCACATTTATATGCTAAAACTGGTTAATTTTTGTATGAAATAATAAAACGTTACAACATGGAGATGCTCTCTCATCGTGTGCAGTGTCATTCGGCACTTAGTGCCATCTATTATACACTTCAAGATGAACTTGTAGGCATATAACGTTACACTACAGTAAAACGGTAAATGTCTAGAAACTAAGACTGTTTTTAGTTTTTACCTCCATGCGATACAAATATCATCGTTTTACAGACTATTTCATGTGTTTTGTGTACATGCAAATCACTTTTTAAATTTCGTGCTCCTGCAGCAAGATGAAAGTAGTGCGAACTACTTATTATTCGATCTGATTGACAAAATTATTAACTCATTCGTAAGTTCAGCTGATAAGATTATACGAAATATAAAAAAATTTATTTGCTTTCCCTCCAATTATCTAAGCCTTTTTTCTATAAATAAATTTTGTTTATTGTAACAGGGACCCTATATGCTAACAATTTGAGTATATAAAGGTCCCTGATTGTAGATATTTTTGGCCAAAAAAGCAAGATTAGAGCATACAATTTCACATCCCTGCTTTTGCCATGTTCATGATGTGTAATGTTTATTGCTCTTTAAGAAAGAGGGAAAAATTCACATACTTTGTTCAATTTCTACTATAGTGTTCAAAAGCGGAAACTTGCTTAAGTCCACTTTTTAAATAATCCATTAATTATTGTACATGTATGTATCGAGGTTGAATTTGCGCTCATTGTCATTTTTTGAAATATATGGATAACGAACAGAATTGAATTTCAATCTGAAAAGTCCATTAAAAATTCAAAATTGGAGCAAAGAAAAAACACATAGGGCCTACCATCATCAGAGGTAGGATCAGGTGCCATGGAGCATCCCCTGCTGTTGTAGTGCTGATCGGTCACACATACTCGTCGTGTGCTTCTTGTCATGATCGGGAAATAACGGGAAAATCCTTCGACAATTCAGTGTGTTTATAATGGCCTAACAATTAGTATGAATACGCCAGTTAGCATTTGATTTATCGACCGCATGGCCATGGGAACCGGTGAGGGGGGGGGGGTCCCAAATAATTTTACCGATATAAAGATTACGATAGAAAACATTGTTACTGTATGCTTGTGTCCCCTAATTAAATACGTCTGATGACCTTTTTTGCTTGTCAAACAATTCTTGGTACTTGATAGTGACCCCTCAACTGAAAATGTATGGCTGTGCCCCCCCCCCCTTCCACACTGAAATTGTTGTTACGGGCCTGGGTCACCATAATTATATAGAAGTTACGAAATGATAACTTTTAAAGCGGTTGCTGTTACTCTTGTTTCAGCAACTCAGTTGTTTTTCAATAACTTATCTCGAGTCGTCTTAAAAATTGTTCATACAAATAGTATGCTCTTGCTCGAATCAACATTAATGTATACCCCCCCCCCCCCACTGATATTAATATTACTGATCATGGCTTTGTTGTTATTGAGCAGAAAAAAATTAACAGCTTTCGTTTTCATTCCGTTAGAGCACTCGCTCCTTGATCCGATTAACAGAACTCTCGGTACTTTGCAGTTCTAAAAACCATACTTTTTAGTTATACCTGTATTTAGCTGCAGATCTGTAGCGTTATGGTTTTATATACAAATTGGCTACAAAATGTGTCTAGAATTAGGGAGTGAAAGGTAATTGATTGACCAATGCTTAAGAGTGGAGAAATTCTCTCCAAAAGCGCGCAAAAAATATTGCGCCGTAAATTGCACCTTTTTGCATTACAGGATCTGTAGCGTTATGGTCAAAGACAAATATATAAAACCATAACGCTACAGATCTGCAGCTAACCTGTATTTTATTGTCTGCCCGACGACGGAGTATGTTAGAGGAATTATATCAGACTGTATTAATCGAACCTTTCATTCAGCTTCGATAAAGAGTTATCAAAAAAAATATCAATCATTCATTTGCAGAATTGTCAAAGTGTATTTTTTTTCGCTTATCTTATTTGTTCTACTACCACTAAAATCTGTGGACATGCCAAACAATTATAGATACGGAAATCGACAGAAACAAAAATGGACATTCCGTTAATATTAGCCAAGAAGTTATATGCATCGAAGAAGTATTCCACTTTCTTCATCTTCCGCATGTGGATAGGATACGGTTTTGACGCCGCCGAATTCACCGCCGTTATCATACGTTACGGCTTTAATTACGTAAGTGAGGTATGGATGTACATACTATACGTCTATCTGGGCCTGTTAGCTCTCATTGCCTTCGCCATG